GAGATCAATAAGACTAATCAAATGACTAAGAAAGTATAGAGGGACAAAAAGGGGGCCAATCAATCCAGCCCAGGAAGTCTTCTTAAAAACTATGCATGATTTACGTATGATTTATTCAGGCTTATACAGATAACTCATTTTTATAACCAATTTCTCAAGGTACTATAAAGTTTACCTGACAACTCTCTGAAATTCAGATTCAGCTAATACATTACAAACATCTATGTCAAGACTAGGCAAGTGAATTAATGTGTGAAGTGGGATACATGAGGGTGTACATCTTGTCTAGAGAAGAAAGTGGTTACTCAAGTGTAGCTGACTTCCCTGTGGGAATGGGAGCCAAATGTTCCCAATTGTGTGGTAACAGCCAACCTAGACTTTTACCTGTAATCTCTCAATTGTGTCATACTGACCCAATTAGGCCGGCATGGTGGCTCACGCCTGTAATGCCAGCACTTTGGGAGGCCGAGGCAAGTGGATCACGAGGTAAGGAGTTCGAGACCAGCCTGGCCAATGTGGTGAAACCCTGTCTCTACTAAAAAATACAAATTAGCTGGGTGTGGTGGCGCACACCTGTCCTGGTGGCATGTGCCTGAATCACTGGAACCCAGAAGGCAGAGGTTGCAGTGAGCTGAGATCGCACCACTGCACTCTAGCCGGGGTGACAGAGTAAGACTCTGTCTCAAAAATAAATAAATAAATAAATAAAAATAAAAATACCGACCCAATTAAACAAACAAAAACTCTTTCAGCCAAACTATGGTCTGTGGTCTAAGTTGGGTCCATGGGCCAACAGTGTGCACCCCCAGCCTATACTTTAGGTCATATACTTCCACATACATTATCTATCCTATTTAATTGAAATGTTTGACTATCTTCTTCAAAGAGTCTTAAGGAAATAAACAGACCCCTTTAGGTACTTAATGAATTGGAAATCTAGATGGAAATAAATTCATTCTTTAATAACAAAGTATTCTGGGTAATGTCAGTCTATTCATCCCGAGGAAAAAACTGAGGAAGTGGATTAAAAACAGAAAATAAAAGAACCTCTATGTGGTCACTTGATGTGGACCCCTATAATCGTCTGAATCTGATTTCTTCACTTGATTATCAAAACAGAACAAATGTTCCCAGTGACAGAATCACAACGTCCTCATGATCTGCTTAGGTAACCCACTACAGTATTAGTGTCTTATTCATAAGGTTTAATCTAAATCTTTGCTACACAACTTGATTCCATTATCATTTGTCCTTTCCTCATTGGCCATTATCTGCATGATAAAACAAACATCCAGAGAATGTGTAAGCAGAAAGGAGATAATGAATCAAAGGTAGCTATTATGTTATTACTATGTTGAAAACAAGTTTAGTCATGTTGAAAATAGCCTTTGGCCAGGCGCGGTGGCTCACGCCTATAACCCCAGCACTTTGGGAGGCCGAGGCAGGTGAACTGCATGACCTCAGGAGTTCAAGACCAGCCTGGGCAACACAGTGAAACCCCATCTCTACTAAAATACAAAAAAATCAGCCGGGCATGGCAGTGTGCATCTGTAGTCCCAGCTACTTAGAAGGCTGAGGAGGAGAATTGCTTGAACCCGGGAGGCGGCAGTTGCAATGAGTTGTGATTGTGCCACTGCACTCCAGCCTGAGTGACAGAGTAAGACTCTGTCTCCAAAAAAAAAAAAAGAAAATAGCCTGGATGCTGGGAGTGAAAAAATCATCTTAATAACTTCACTGATGCCACTAATATTATTACATGACATTCACACACAAAAAATATGGCCTACATTTGAATGCTTATATAATTGGCAATAAAAAGTAAAGATCATAAACACTAGTAATTGATTCTATCACTTACCATGTAATGGAGATGAAATGGGTTTTATTAAGCAATCTTTTACATTTCCTAATCTAGAAACAAACCAAGTGTTATTGCAATTCAGAGAGATTAATTTCGTATTAGTGAAAACTTTAACTGGGATACAGACTTGACATAAAAGGAATCAAAGCTTGGAAACTAAGGGAATCAAAGCTTGGAAACTAAGTATAGACTCATATATTAAAAAGCTATCTAAAAAGTAATATACACCTAAAATATGCCATATATTTCATATGTAATATATGTCTAAAAATAATAGTTTGAGGATGTTTATCTCAACGAATACAAAGGCTTTCATCTACAAGTAAGATAATGCACTGGAGTATTATTTTTAAATTATTTCCTAACATGGAGGGACCACCTCAAAAGCACTGCCTGACTGTAGAAATAGTACTTTATTTCCTGAGGAAGGTACTGTAAGAAATTCTGAAGTTTAAGAAAAAGAAGTAAAGCAGCTAAAATAACAAGGGCTATAATATCTCAAATGGAAATGAAAAGACTAAAGGACCTTAACATTTAAATGCCTCTTTAAAAAAAAAAAAACTTTATTGGTATTTTTTTAGTTTCTGCCACATTATTTTTAAATTTAATATTAAGGATATTTTTACTCATACACACAAAAGTAGAGGAAATATGTAATGAGCTGCTTTAAACACATCACACAGCTTTAACAACTTTTGCTATTTTGGATTCTTGTTTCATCCATCTTCCCTAATTTATTCTCACCAAACTTAATAAATTTTATCAAATCAGAAAGTTTTAAAATTGTTCTTTCATAAAACATTTTAAATAGCAGAAGTGTACACAAGTATTATGTATCGCACATACAGAATTATACTATATATACTATATATATTATATATACTATAGTATATATAGTATATATGTTATACTATATATATACAGAACTATACTATGTTGTCAATATTACAGTCTGTGGGGAAAAGAAAGAGAGATCAGCCTGTTACTGTGTCTATATAGAAAGAAGTAGACATAAGAGATTCCATTTTGTTCTGTATTTGAGATGCTGTTAATCTGTGACCCTACCCCCAACCTTGTCCTTGCAAGAGACATGTGCTGTGGTGACTCAAGGTTTAATGGATTTTGGGCTGTGCAGGATATGTCTTTGTTAAACAAGTGCCTGAAGGCAGCTGGCTGGTTAAAAGTCATCACCATTCCCTTAATTTCAACTACCCAGGGACACACACACGGCCAAAGGTCCCAGGGACCTCTGCCTAGGAAAGCTAGGTATTGTCCAAGGTTTCTCCCCATGTGATAGGCTGAAACAATGCTGTTAAAAGGTTTATGGAGATGTTTGCATATGCATCTCAAGGCACAGCATTTTCCTTTAAACTTATTCATGTCACAGAGATTTTTGTTCATATGTCTTACTGCTGATTTCCTCCCTACAATGATCCTATTGTCCAGCCACTCCTTTATCTTTAATATGGTAAAGATAATTATCAATAAATACTAAGGGAACTCAGAGACCGGTGCCGGCATGGGTCCTCTGAAAGCTAAGCGCCGGTCCCCTGGGTCCACTTTTTCTTTCTCTATACTTTGTCTCTGTGTCTCATTTCTTTTCTCAAGTCTCTTGTTCCACCTAACGAGAAACACCCACAGGTGTGGAGGGGCAGGCCACCCCTTCACAGTCTTAATGAGAAAACCTGTTCTACCAACAGCATTGTTCTTTTGGTAAGATAGTACTGGTTATTATTATCAGGTATTAATATTCTTAGGAAATCAGAGCAAGAGATAGGTGGTATATTGGGCTAAAGAAAATAAAACAGTGTAACCACTGAGAAAATTTTTAAATAAGGGATGACACCAAAAGTAGCTTAGTTTAAATAAAGCTTAGTTCAGTTAAAGAAACAAACTACAAATGACAAGTATTTTTACCTAACAATCAATGGATTTGCTCCAAATTAAGCTGTCTCTCTCTAAAAGACAATTATCTCAAAATAACAGAAACAAAAATGGAATTCTGAAATGAAAATAATCAAACTGTATTATGATATATGACTAATAATGTCTGTTTAAAAACAAACATAATAGAACTTACACATCGAAATGAGCCTTCACCCATTCAAAACAATCACTCCCAGGCTGGGTGTGATGGCTCACATCAACAGTCTTAGCACTTTTGGGGGCTGGGGTAGGAGGACTGCTTGAGCCCAGCAGTTCAAGATCCAACTCGGCAACATAGCAAGGCCCTGTCTCTACAAAAAATTTAAAAATTAGCCAGCCATGGTGGCATACACCTATAGTCCTTGCTATTCAGGAGTTTGAGGTAAGAGGATCACTTGAGCCAAGTAGTTCAAGGTTATAGTAAACTACAATTGCACCACTGTGCTGCAGCCTGGGTGACAGAGCAAGAATCTGTCTCAAAACAACAACAACAACAACAAACAATATGCAGAAGCAACTGTATTTATCCAGAAGCAATATGTATTTATTCTAGTATTGCAACCACTACTCAAAACATTGAGAATTCTTATTTTCAAATTACTTTTAGAGTCTACGGCACATTATTCTAGACATCCTCCCTGGTGGCACATGTTTGTTCCTCAACAGGTGATGAATTTAATTGGAGGTGAGGGTTATTTGGAGCAACTAACGAATAAATGGGGAAAACGAGCTGGGTTTAAAAAAAAGTATGACTATGTAAAACAATAAAGCAGGTTTTGAGTTTATAAGCTGGCTCTGAAAACAATTCCAAAAGAATTCCTAAAATGTCTAAGCAAGCAATATTGGAGTAAGTTTTCCTTAATAAGGTAACTATATGAAGGATAACATCTATTTGGAAGCATATTTTCTTATGTGCTTTATTTAAAAAAATTAGTCCTTTGCCCCATTTTATATGTGCTTAATTTTGCAAGTCACCTCAAATGCCTTTTGGAAAAAAAGTAAAGTATAAATCCTATATCACAGTAGTCTTTAGAGTCTATTAATCGTTTATTGCTTCATAGTTAAAACTATAAAGAATGAACCTACCAGCTATGCAAATCTATTCACCATAGGCTTTGTCAACTTCAGTTTATGCTAATCAGAACGCTGATACAATTCAATGAATGTGGCATGAAATTATCACATTTCTTTTCCTTTTTTTTTTTTTTTTTTAGATAGGTCTCATTCTGTAGCCCGGGCTGGAGTGCAGTGGCACAATCTCGGCTCAGTGCAACCTCCACCTCCCAGGATCAAGCAATTCTCCCGCCTCAGCCTCCAGAGTAGCTTGGATTATAGACGTGCACCACGCTCAACTAATTTTTGCATTTTTTTTGTAGAGATGGACAAAATTATCACATTTCATCATCACAAATCTCCTTTAGAGGTTGGGTCCTCATAATATACTCTGATTAGATTTTTACTTTGTTTAGTTTTATGAATGTTTTCTAATTTCTTTTTATTAATAATTTTATTAACCACAGTTATCTTTTTTTTTTAAGGGATCATCTCTTTCTGGAGAGGGATTTTTTTTTTTTCTTTTTATCTGTTACCCTAGTTTCTCCGTTTAAATACTCGGCTTATTCTCTTACTCTACCCTGTTTGTGGGGGAGGGCAAAAGTCCAAAAACTCTTAAGAAAAAAGATCACTAAGGGAGATCATTAATGCATTCTTAAGTCAAACTACACCTATTTTTCTGTTCTTTAATCTTCAGTTGTATGCTTTTGACCCATTCACAAACCGATAAATCTCTCAAGAATAAGTCAGAGGGCCAGGCGTGGTGGCTCATGCCTGTAATCCCAGCACTTTGGGAAGCCGAGATGGGTGGGTCACCTGAGGTCGGGAGTTCGAGACCAGCCTGACCAACATGGAGAAACCCCATCTCTACTAAAAATACAAAATTAGCCGGGCATGGTGGTGCAAGCCTGTAATCCCAGCTATTCAGAAGGCTGAGGCAGGAGAATCGTTTGAATCCAGGAGGCAGAGGTTGAGGTGAGCTGAGATTGCGCCACTGCACTTCAGCCTGGGCAACAAGAGCAAATTTTTGTCTCCAAAAAAAAAAAGTCAGAGGGTATATATAGGTTGGTAGGTTTCACTGACTTAGAAGCACTCATTCTCTCATACAAATATCTCTTGCACGTGTAATATGGAAGCCAGTAGGGTGAGGTAACGCGCATTTTCTAAGTTGTGAGGTGCATGCCCTGAGTATTATTTCATGAACTAGGACAATGAGAATTTATTTGGTCTTTTTGATAAAGGTTACCTTTCTTGGTTTGTACCAAAGACTTTTCAACAAATACATTCCTTAGAGACCACTCGTCACAGTAAGAACTTCAAATAGATGCAACTGGTTTACACACTATCCATAGTAAGTTCAACTCAGCTAATCTTCCATCTTAATTCATCACTATTATGAAGAGTTTCATCTTTCTTTAAGAAGAAATGCTAAAGCACAAACACTGACCTTTACCTTGTCATTGGTTTCATTAAACAAAAAAAAGGCATGGCCAGTTGCAGTCTTACGCCTGTAATCCTAGCACTTTGGGAGGCTAAGACTGGTGGACTGCTTGAGTCCAGGAATTAGCGACCAGCCTGGGCAACATGGTGAAACCCCGTTTCTACAAAAAAATTTAAAAATTAGCCAGGCATGATGGCACAAGCCTGTAGTCCCAGCTACTTGGGAGGCTGAAATGGGAGAATCACTTGAGCCTGGGAGGTGGAGGTTGCAGTGAGCTGAGATCGCATCACTGCACTCCAGCCTGGATGACAGAGACCCTGTCTCAAAAAAAAAAAAGAAAGAAAGAAAAGAAAAGAAGTAAACTCAAAATGGATCACAGACCTAAATATAGGAGTTAAAACTATAAAACTCTTAGAAGAAAACATGGCAGAAAATCTTCCTTATATTGGATTTGGGAATGATTTAACAGCTATGACAGCAAAAGCACCGGCAACAGTAGAAAAAAACAGATAAACTGGACTTGAAAATTAAAAACTTTTGTGCCTCAAAAGGCATGATCAAGAGAGGGAAAAGAAAACCCATAGAATGAGAGACAATATTTGCAAATCATGTATCTGATGAGGGATTAATATCCAGAATACATAAAGATTAATATGCAGAATATGTAACTCCAGTTATTTAAAAAACCTAATTTAAAAAAACTGACATTTCTCCAAAGAAGTTATATAAATGACTAAATAAACACATGAAATGATGCTTAATATCACCAGCCATTAGAGAAACATTAAATCAAAACCATAATAAGATACCTTAACTTCACACCCAGTAGGATAAGTATTATCAAACAACAACAAGAAACCTGAAAATAAGTATTGCCAAGATGTGAAGAAATTGGAACTCTCATTCATGTATTGCTGGTGGGGATGTAAGATGTTACAGCCACTGTGGAAAACAGTTTGGCAGTTCTTCAAAAAGCTAAACATAGACTTACATTACGATCCAGCAATTCCATTCCTGGGTATATACCCAAAAGAACTGAAAGCAGGAAGCAGGAACTCAAACAGATGCTTAAACACCAATGTTCACAGCAGCCTATTCATAACAGCCAAAAGGTGGAGACAATCCCAACGTCCATCAGCAGATGAACAGATAAACAAAATGTGGTATATACCTACAATAGAATATTATTCAGTCTCAAAAGGTAATACATGCTATAACATGGACAAATTTGAAAAATATTATGCTAAAAGAAATAAGCCAGACATAAAACAAATATTGTACAATTTAACTTTTATGAAATATCTAGAATACACAAATTCATAGAGACAGAAAATAAATTAGAGGTTACTAGCGACTGAGGGGTGGAGGGAATGGGGAGTTATTGCTTAATGGGTATGGAGTTTCTGTTTGGGATGATGAAAAAGTTCTGGAAATGGATAGTGGTGAGCATTGTGCAACTTTGTGAATGTGCTTAGTGCCACTGAATTGTATATTTGAAAATGGTTTAAAATGGTAATTTTATATTCTATATATTGTACCATAAATTTTTAAAATGCTGGACTTGAGATGTCTGTAGTGACAATACACCAATACTGCATAATATTTCTTACTTTAAATTGTTTTTCTCACCCATTTAAGCACCTCCAATGCCAGTAAGTTTGGTGAGGATATACAATTGCTGACAGAAACACGATGAGTGCCCTGGACTCTAGTCCAAGTAAACACACCATCCAAAAAATGTTCACTTAAATGTCAAGTGAGTTGAGTCCATTCCAATAACAATAAAACAAGATCAGAGTGCATCTACTATGTTCAAGAGGGCAGGGATCAAAGGTCCTGAGATGCCTCTGCTAGTAGCAAGATAATGCTCTGATTTACTGACACCATGAGCCACTTTGTCTTAATTTCTTCCCTGGTACTCTTAACAGCTTTATTCAGTCACCATTCCCACACTTTAGGTTTGTTAATGCCAAGTGCTTAGGTTTGGGATAACTCCCCAGAGGCTAATAATATGGCCTAGAAAGGAGGGGAGGGCAGAAAAATTCAAAAGAGAGGAACCTAAAATATATTTCCAATCCCCCTAAGATTTTTTAATAGAGAAAAAAATGCACTGTTTAATTTTAGAATTCTTGGTGGGGCACGATGGCTCAAGCCTGTAATCCCAGCACTTTGGGAGGCTGAGGAGGGCAGATTACCTGAGGTCAGGAGTTCAAGACCAGCCTGGACCAGCCTGGCCGACCCTGTCTCTACTAAAAATACAAAAATTAGTCAGGCATGGTGGCGGACGCCTGTAATCCCAGCTACTTGGGAGACTGAGGTGTGAGAATCGCTTGAATCCGGAAGGAGGAGGTTGTAGTGAACTGAGATCACCGCACTGCACTCCTGCCTAGGTGACAGGGCAAGACTCTGTCTCAAAATAATAATAATAATAATTCTAACAACATTTCTAATACAGTACTTACATAGTAATCCTGAGACTTAATGAAGCTTTAAGATTATTTCTAAAAATTAAGCAAAAGAGAAACTATGTTTTAACTATGTGTTCTAAAGATAAAGATTACAATTCAACTGCAAAAGAAAGATGCAGTTTTGCCCTAGGCAGGGTTTTCATTTGGGGGGAAAAATTAAGGATGATCTCTTTTGTTTACAGGTTTTTCTCTTATTGATATCTCATCTACAGTTACTGGATAATTTCTGTTCTGAAAGCTGGGAGCAGCATGAGAAATAGAAACTGACCTGAGTTTAAATTCCAGTTATGAGTTTTAACAAATCAGTTGCTAGTTATTGACAGGGTTTAGGACATTTGAACCCAAAATATGATACCTTGGCATTTAAGAAAACAGCAGAAGTAGGAAGGTCACTCTCACCACCCCACTTCTTCCCTAAAGCAAGTCATAAAATCTAGGAAGAATTGGCCTGGCGGCGGTGGCTCACGCCTGTAATCCTAGCACTTTGGGAGGCTGAGGCAGCCAGATCACGAGGTCAGGAGATCGAGACCATACTGGCTAACACGGTGAAACCACGTCTCAACTAAAAATACAATTAGCCAGCCACGGTGGCGGGCGCCTGTAGTCCCAGCTACTCAGGAGGCTGAGGCAGGAGAATGGCGTGAACCCGGAAGGCAGAGCTTGCAGTGAGCCAAGATGGCGCCACTGCACTCCAGCCTGGGCGAGAGCAAGATTCCGTCTCAAAAAAAAAAAAATCTAGGAAGAATTTTTCTCACCTTCCCCTAAAGCAGGTCATACTACTCTCATCTGAGAGGTGTCCTCCTTACACCAAGAGGAAAGGAACCTCCTTACCTCTGAAGACCTAGGGACGCAGCAAAGATTCTGAATGAACAGAGCTTACTAAATTCCTCCCAGTTTATTACCATTAGATCATACCCCCTTTTGTCCAATCATACTTCTCTACAACTATCCACTTCTTTATCAATCCTGTCACAGAAAATACACAGGTTTACTCATTTCTTCAGGTCTTAATTTCCTTATGAAGGCTCCCGTGTCCCAAAAAACTTATATTAAATTAATCTGTATGCTTTTCTCTCACTAATCTGTCTTTTGTTATAGCGGCTACAGCCATGAACTTAAGATGGGAAGGAAAGACATTTCTTTCCCCTACACTATATGTAGGTCATTTTATCTGTAGCCTTTTTGATTTTTTGACTTTTTGTTTGTTTGAGACAGGGTCTCGCTCTATAGCCCAGGGTACAGGTGCAATCACAACTCACCAAAACCTCAAATTCCTTGGCTAACACCATCCTCCTCCCTCTGCTTCCCAAGTAGCTGGGACTACAGGCGTGCACTACTACACACAGCTAATCTTTTTTTTTTTTTTTTTTTTCTAAGTTCCAGGGTACACATGCAGTATGTGCAGGTTTGTTACACAGGTAAACATGTGCCATGGTGGTTTGCTGTACCACACCCTGCTACTCTTTATTTATTTTGTAGAGATGAGGTCTCACTATGCTGCACAGATGGATCTTCAACTCCTGGGCCCAAGGGCTCTCCAACCTCCCAAAGCACTGGGATTACCCCTGTGAGCAATCATGCCTAGCCTCATTTTTGTACAATGTTGCTAGTAATCCCTACCTCGGCAGGCTGTGGTGAGGATTAAAAGGTACATTGTACATAAAGTACATTTTCTAGTACATGTTCAACAAATGTTCATTCTTATCCTCCTGAAAATTTCTCAGAGAAAAGAGAAGGAGTGGACACTAGCCATGGTATCCACTGATTCTGAAATGATAACAGAAATAAGGAGCTTATTGCTGGATTTACTGAAATGGCACAGAATCTATAGTGCTGGAGCTGGAAAAAAAACTGGAATGTACCTCCTTCTGGATTTCCAAGCACAAGATTCACAAAAGAGCCAAAAAACTCAAGCCTTTGTAATTGGGGGGGGGGGGCGGGGAAGTCATTATGATTTCCCAAATGAGTCAAGTTAGAAATACTACATTTTCATAATCCTAAACCAAGAGTCACTCTATATTTCTGAAGGGCTTAAATACATATTAACAACTCATCCCCCCACTCCCTACTAATATGTTGCTGTAGTCTTCCTTGGGGTTAAGACTTCTGGAAATTTAATAATTCTACATGTATAATTTTTTGTCTTAACTTCATGAAATTTACCACATTTAGTCTTTCGTGCAACTATAAAAGTTAACTATTTCTTTCTACCTTTCTTATTGTTTCAAAAAGGCAAGTAACTCTCCTTGCATCTATTAGAAGCATATTAATGACACCTCTGTCATAAAGAAATATGTTTTTAATTTAAAGAAGGACCTGTTGTCCAAAATCTATTTCCTTCAGCACACTGGTAAACATGCTCATGGAAACATGCTCTGTTGCCAAAATACCCTGTCATTAAGAGCTGCTCAGAAAAGAGCTTTAACTTTCTATTAAGTTCATGATCATTTGCAATACTTACACACACACAACAGAGCATTAAACATTCCACTGCCATCTACCAAGCATGCCAGGTTTTTCTGTAATATATAGAAGTGTAAATGAGGTCAATATTGGTATCTTTCTCCTTATTCCTTAGATTCTTTTCCCTTTCAGCTCAAGTTTCGGTGTATTAATACCCTGGTATCACCAAAGACTACACTAGTCACTGCACTAGTCATTTTATGTACACTATTGCATTTAAACCTT